AAGAGACTGACAGCAATTCCCACCAAACTCCCAGTACCTGCCCTTTCCCACAATGCAACAAGAGCTTCAGCAACCCTCGTGCTCTGGAGATGCACTTGAGCTCACACAGTGGTGAGTAGGCTGGTATCATAAGTACAATGCATTTTGACAATTACAAAAAAAATGTTTAAAGAATTTTCTCACAATCATTGCACATTAAAGTATTTGATCAAAATAAATAAATACGTATACATATATAATAAATGCATATTAAAGATACATTTATAAAAAGAATTAATACAGTTTATTTCACTGTATGGCTGTTCAGTCTGCAACAGCCAAACGTCTGCCATTCTGTTAATATTAAAATAAACTGAAATTCTATATTTGCTTGTGAAGGAAACAAGAAATACATTTTAGCTAGTTACTGACAAGATGCGCGTTAAATATCACATGCGATTTATCGTGCCGCCCTAATTTTAGCAAATAATCACAGTTAGATCAAATAATCACAATCAGGCAGTAATATGTGTCTAGGAAATAGACATCCAAAATGCTACATGCAGACACAATGTAAAATTAGTGGAAATACAAGATTAACAAAAACAACTGTCTCTTTTCTTTCTCACAGGTTTTAAAATGGAGGAGTCTCTTCCCCCTGGCACCAGCTTGAAATGCACAATCTGTAACTTCACAGCAGATTCACTCCTTACATTCCAGCACCACATCCTTTCACACCTGTCACAGGCAGCTTTCAGATGCAATCACTGCCACATCAGTTTCCAGAACCATAGGGAACTGCTGCAGCATCAAGACTTACACGGACACACTGGGAAGATTCACAGGGAGAGCGACAGCGAGAACTCCCCAAGAGGAGGAGAGGAAATCTTACAGGCAGTACGAGCAGAACTGTCAGGCAGGAAGGATGTGGTTATGCAAAGTCCCAAGAGCACACCTAACAAGGCCAACAGTCCTGATGGAGAACTCGAAAGACCTGAGAAAAAAACTATCCTTGGACTGCAGAAGGGAGAAAGTCACCCAGGAAGCAAGGCTAGTTTCTCTTACACCAGAATCAAGTCAGAACCCTCTAGTCCACGGCTAGCTTCCTCACCGGTCCAGCACAACATGGGACCAACCTTCCCCATGGGTCCATTCTTGTCACAGTTTGCTTTCTCCCAGGACATTTCTGTGGTACCACAAGCATCTGAGATTCTAGCGAAAATGTCAGAGCTGGTGCATCGCAGGCTACGCCATGGAGGGAACAGCTACCCTCCTGTCATCTACAGTCCTCTCATGCCCAAAGGAGCGACCTGCTTTGAATGCAACATCACCTTCAATAATCTAGATAACTACTTAGTTCACAAGAAGCACTACTGCAACAGTCGCTGGCAGCACATGGCAAAGTCTCCGGATTTTTCCAGTGTTCCGGACAAGGTGTCCGATGCCATAAGTCCAAACAGTGGCCACACTTCGGTCGGTATGCTTCCTGGATGCCTTCCATCAGAGACCGACAGTCATCTCGTGACAACAACTTGTTTGAATTCGTCTGTTTTGGATATTATGAACGCTGGTGGGAAAGTGCCTGAAAAAGACCTTCCTGGGCAAGTAAAGAAGGTTACTACACCAACAGGAGTTGAGGAAAGGCTTGGCGGAAAACAGTCTGAGGTGAAGAGTCCCAGCACGTCTTTGGTGGACGGTGACAACGACCCAAACAAGACCATCTGTGAAGCATGCAACATCACCTTCAGCCGGCATGAAACGTACATGGTTCACAAGCAGTACTATTGTGCCACTCGCCATGACCCACCCATGAAACGCATGTCCATGAAGGTGCCCGCCATGCAGCGGACCATGAGAACACGCAAGCGGAGGAAGATGTACGAGATGTGTCTACCTGACCAAGAGCAGCGGCAGCCCATGGGGCCACAGCCGGGATTCTTGGGTATGCCCACTCTAGGAAATCCCTGTACATCCCAGGAAACGGTAGAAAATCTGGCTGACCGCTTCCATCCACGATGTGACATCTTTCCAAGCCTTGTCCCAAAACACTTAGATGCTTCCCTTACTGTCTCCAAGCCTATCCTTGCCCCCAAAGGTAACACTATTGCAGACCCACAGGAACTAGATGCTCCGATGGATCTCAGCAAAAAGTGCTCACCTCTTCCTGACAAGTCGTGCAACTCCCCCAAAAGACTCTTGGACTATCACGAATGTACTGTGTGCAAGATCAGTTTTAACAAAGTGGAGAATTACCTAGCCCATAAACAGAACTTTTGCCCTGTCACAGCTGCTCAGCATGGTGAGATCGGCAGTCTGGAGCAGCCAATGTTCCCGGGCGTGAAGAGCGAAGGCAATAATTCGGATGACATCTATGACAAGAGTTCTGTGAAATGTGAGAAAAACGGTGGCAACAAGCTGATGGTGCAGAACGGAGGCATGTTCCCACCACACCTTGGGCTGGCACCGGATCTGAAAGCTTTCGGTGATGCACCGCTCATGACTTCGAAAGATGAGAACAAGAGCATGTTTTTGCCTCACTGTCTCTATCCTGGAGCAATAAAGAAAGTGAAAGGTACAGAGCAAATATCACCATATTTCGGGATAAAAAGTGGCGACTACATGGCAGGAAGTCTTGTAATGCAGGGTGAGGTGGTCGAACAGGAGCAAAGCAGTAATGGTGCAGGTGAGAAGGGCACAGAACCACTTGCGGCTAATGGATGTCCCCATCCCGGCAAGGAGCCACTACCCCTACTGCCCAAAAACAGGGGCATGGTGATTGTCAACGGTGGTCATAAAGAGGATCGCCAGACACCAGCAACTCCCCAGCAAGAGAATCAGCCTCACAACACCTCATCACCAGAGGAACAAACATCTCCCACGTGGGGAGCCGAGAACCCTCCCGACCCAAACGAGAATGTATCGCCAACTTCTAAATCACCCATGGAGGAATCCGCACCTGCCGGAAAAGGCATAAATGGTTCGGCGCCACCAGCAGGCAGTGGGAAGTATTGCCGCCTCTGTGACATCCAGTTCAATAACTTGTCAAACTTTATCACTCACAAGAAGTTTTACTGCTCGTCACATGCCGCCGAGCACGTGAAATGAAATTCGCTCTTGTCCCCTCATCTTTTATTTGGTACACGGTTGTGTCTGAAATAGTGCATCATGCAGTTGTATATACTGCTTGTGGACAATCAAGAGACTTTCGTTATTTTGAAGACTTAATGCAAAATGATGGAAAAAAAATCCAAGTGTAATATTGGTGCCACTTTCACCTTTTATTTATTTTACAATCAGTATTAATAGGAGTAGTGCTCTTAATTTAAATTCAAAGAAAGTTTATATCAGAGTTGTTTGTAATGTTAATGTACAGTCATTCTTGTGTAGCAGACATATTGTTTACAATGTATGTTAGGTTCAAGGAGACAATAGGCACAGGATACAAAACTGAAATGCGTTTTAGACCCAACAATAGCTACTGGAGCACTTGTGTATTCTTATTTGCTGGTACAGTTTTTTGTATATGTCAAAATGTCACTTGCAGTATGATTCTCTTGACTTCAGCCTTAAAACATTTTAGAGGGATAACCAGGCACAACGCTGCAGCTCATGTTTTGGCATATACTGTACACATGGCTTTGCATATATATGTTGCTGTTTGTCTTTTCTTCGACTCAGAAGTGGATGTTTAAATGAGGATGGCAGCATTCTTGTATAGTACTTGTATTTCTGTTTGCTGATACACCTTGTTCTCCCTTTTTTTTTTTTGCTCTCAGCACAATACTTTGTAAGAAAAAAAACAAGGAAAAAAAGGCGGGTGGGAACATTACGGAAAACAGTATTATAAAGGGGGAAGAGCAGCTATTTCTTACTCCTGATAAAAAAATTTAATTGTACTGTATTGATGGGTGGGACGAGACAAGGGAATACTGTAAAAATTATCATTCCAATGTCATATGTAAGAAAAATATTTCTTAAAGATGTTGTTGCTATGCATGTATATGGATGGAATAAAATTCCAGATCTGTTGGAAATTTTTATTTTGATGTGGTGTCAATTAAACTTCAATCCTCAGGATAAACAGACCATGTTATTGTCTTCTTTCAGGATGTCTAATGGAAACATTTTCAGGTCTCATCAAAAGGGGAAATGTACAAGTGTGTGTGTATAGGGAGAGAGTTTTAGGTTTGTTTTACCAAAACAATTTTTTTTATTTTAAAAAATGCAACGTTGTTAAAAAAAAGTCCTCGTTTTTGAAGGAAAATATCATTTCCATTTTT